GACAATATGGGAATACAATAAATCATAATAATGAATCCCTACTAGTGTTGTCATGATACTACATTTTAAACAATTTTGTACTAGAAAAAAAGAAAACAACACTGTGATTATTTATACATTCTATTTTTGAACCATACATTTAGTGATACTTTCTCAAACTGTCATCTATTTTATTATTTTAGTATTGATCAATATCAGATTTTCAATAATCCCTACCCCCATGTCTTTGAGCCTTGAATCTAGTTTTACATGAAAAGAGCAGACTGGACTCATATTTTAGGTCAGACGATCCAAAAGTCTTCACCACAGAAAAAAAAAAAAAAACTATGAATTATTTTATTGGTGAAGAAGTGGAATTTCTGAAGTAATTTTATCCAAATATGTATAGGTTGGATTTAATATTCATTTGCTTGTTGTGTTGGGAACCTTTGAAGGCCTCCATGAAGTACCTCTGGGGACCAACAGTGGACTACGGACTCCACTTTGGGAAGCAGTTCTTTAGACAAACCGTATTAAGTGTTGGCTGAATGTCTACAAAAAAGACTATTATTCGGTTCAATTAAAATCAAATAGCTAGCATTTTTATCAGTGAGTGAGTGGATCAATCTACAGTACAAGATACCGTCACGGCCATGATTGTGCATGTTTGGATAACGCTACTTTTAATAAACTTTAAAACCAACAGTAGCTCAGTTGGTAGAGCATTGGCCTTTGAGCCAGAGGGTTGTGGGTTTGAGCCCGACCTTCACCATCGATTCACACTGTCTGCTGTCGTTGTGGCCTTGGCAATACACTTTACCCCCATTGCCTAGGATGAGTCTGGTTGGTGGTGGTCGGAGGGGCCGATGGCGCATACTGGTTGCCTCACTTCTGTCAGTGTGCCCCAGGGCAATTGTGGCTACAGTAGTAGTTTATCACCACCGTGCTTGGAGTGAAAGAAAAATGACATGTAAAGCGTCTTTAAGTGTCCAGAAAAGCGCTTTATAAAACCGTTGCATTATTATATAACACAGTTTGATCATATATTCACAATGATGTTCAAACGCACACATTTTAATAGACTTTGCTGCATTCAAGAAAAACTGTCTTTGCTCCAGAGCCAGCAACAGACTGGCACATTCAGACTGGAACAGGCTTACCCTCTAGTTGACCGAGGCTTGGACCTTTCCCAACTCCACTCCATCACTCCGGTGTTGTGTATTTTGCTAATTAGGGTAGTAAACAAATCTCCTTAAATATGCTAATGTTAATGTGGGAAAAGAGAGCCACTCCACTCTCAGCCTTTGTACACTAATTGCCTCACTTCCCAGAGTGCACTCACCGTAAAACCCTTCTTTAGATAAATTGTTTAGATAATTTCACAGAATATTGTCTCTCAGCTCAAAATAGCATCACATCGTCCAGGGCCATAGCAATAAAGAAGAAAAAGAGCTAGACTGTATTGTTTCGGGGTTGCTAATAAACTCACTTATAAATGTGTGCTGTTAAGACCTGGACACTGACTTCCATAAATGGCTCTAGACACAAATCCCAGTGGCTTCATCCTTGTTTTATCCAGTAAATTTCACCAATGGATAAAATGGTTGAGGTTAAAAGATAAATCACAAAAAATGGATAATTGAAATAGTTAGGGTTAGGGCAAACAGTAGTCAACTATTTTAGTAATTCATTAGTCTTGAACCAAATGGACCAAATCCTGCCAAGATGAGATTCTACTAGTATTTCTAATCAAACAGTAAATTGTCAAAATCAAGTTTATTTATATGGCACTTCATTGTCCATTGTGAAGTACACTCCAGAATGGACACAACCTTTATACATATGACATATAATAATATACACAGCGTTGTATCTAGTCTCAACAGAGATTGGTATCACTTTGTTTTAGTCAAACTTATTTTAAAAAACATAATCGATTATCAAAATGATTGTCAATTACAGCCCGATAGATGGTCGCCACTTTCAGATTTGACAATAATTGAGGGGATTCAATATTATCTACTGTTTAAAGTGTGTGAAAACATGCCATTTACTCTTATATGCTCCACTGATTAACTGGTGGATTTCGAACCGTTTTTGTCCTCGCTAACTCAAGGACCAAACTGTGCCTGAGTTTGGAGGTAAACTTTTTTTGAGTATGTCCGAACTTGTGTAGGACTAAAGTAAATGCTTGTATCAGGGAAGTCGCAGGTTTATCTTTGCGAGCTGCCTAAACAATCTGCCTGAGTTTACACAGCGCTGGAGGGGACCGAGGCGCAGACGTCAGGGAGTGTGTAAAACGTGTTTAAGGACAGAAGAGACTGAAGGCGCCAATGCAACAATGGCTGCTCGGCCTATCGCACGGGTCATATAGTTTATGGGACAGACAGTATACTTCAGATGACTCAATATCAGCCCGGGAAAAACAAAACAACAAAGTGATCTTGAGCAGAGCGAATTCAAGATATCAGAAGTTTGGAATAGATTAGTGCACTGCACTTTTGGCATTTTTGGGCAAATTTCATTCTCTATACGTTATGGGCTCCCAAACTTTTCAGACCAGGACCCCGAAAAGAACCATGCAACTGGCCTGGGACCTCCATTTTAAATTGAGAGTAGTAATAATATTAAATGTTAGATAAGGAAATTAAAGGAATTGAAAGCGTTATTTGTATAATTGGGGCAGATTCACTTATTGATCAGTTTTCAATGAAAGCTATAATTATAAACACAGTATCAGAAAATGTATCATATAAAAATCTTGCAAGCATTGTTTGCTTGGAAGCTGAAGCAAACAATGTGTCCAGCGAACCACAACCCTATATTATGCCATATAAGAAGTACTTGGGAGGATAGAAACAATGTAAATGTTATATTAGAATATATGTGTCTCTTGACGTATAACAATGGTTAGAGGTAGTATTTTTTAATGCGATTAGATTAGTTTTGTTTTTCATCGCAGCTGGTAAAGTGTTGAGCGTGGCTGAAGTCAAACAAATAAAAATTACTTACTTACTTACTTATCACTAAATTACTTCAATAGCAATTCTGCTCCCTGTGTCAATTCCTATATTTTTGACATTTTACATAATATGAAGGAAGTATCCGGTCACTCCCAAATCCCTCACACTGACACACTGATTATAAAAAGGGCAGTTAATTCAACCTCATTAAAAAGTCCATAAGCCAATCATCCATGACTCTGCTCCCCTTGACTGTCCAAGCTTAGAGGAACCATAACAAACGCATATACTTGAGTTTCCAAACATTTCACCACTAATTCTCTCTTTATCTGTCCACAGACGAGTGCACAGGACAGGCATTCTGGCAGGAGATGTGTCAGGAGCTCTATAGACCCTCGCCGAAAGCCCCGTGCTCGTCCGACAGCCTTTACCACTTATGGAATACTTCACACATCTGTCAAAACAGATCAATGGGGTTCAAATGCATGTCACGGGGGCACGCTGCTGCTACGGGCCAAAGAATTCTTCCCCAAAATATGTGTTTGTGTGCGGGAGGGGTGAGCCAGGGATAAGGGGGTCCGGCCATGTGGACTCTTTCACAGCCTGGTGCTCTTAGCCACCGTGGCATCCGAGGATCCACACGTCTACTTAGTTTGTTGTCATTCAGAGGGATTAGGGTACCTCAGCTTTAAGTCGTTTTACTACGTTCTTCTTTTTCTTCATATTCGTGAAGGCATTTTTCCCAGAGTGAACCAGATTAATTTAATGGTGAATCCAGTTCAAGTTAATCAACAGGACTAAATACTAATGGTATACAAGTTATCTCTAAATGTTCCTACAAGTGAATGAGAAGACTCTGAACAGGTAATAGTAAAGTTGTCACTTGGACGGAATGTCTGAGCAACACCAGAGTAAACCACAGGTGCAGCTGCGGACAGTCCATTTGTAAACGGACTCGGACTTGCACACATCACCCACTGCAAAACAAGCCAGAGCGGTCTGCGTAAACACTACATCCTTCTCCATGGAGATCAGTCACGGAGCCCAAACCCCAGAAACCAGAATGAGAGGCGCTCAATTCACATAGACAACTGCATCCAGGGACTCTTCTTTAACATACCACCACCACTGCTTCTGAAAAGGACTCAACCATGACATTAATGGATCCCAATTTAACCCAAACCATGTATAGAACTAGGACTGAAACTAAACAATGAGTAGGAGTAAATTTGTACCAATAACTGTTAGTAATATTGAATCGACCGAGCTTTTTCATTTCCAATCTTCAATACATTATTAATTACTGCAAGTCACCACAGAGCAACTTTGTGAACTTTGTGTTCTGGGTTATTATAAGCCAGTCAATTGCTGCATTATCAATTGAATTTGGCAAGGCAAAGAAAGTGTATTTGTAAACCACAATTCATAGGAAACTCAAAGTGCTTCACAGAAGCAGACAACCAATATTTGATACCAGTGTAAATATTGTTTAAAGCCTGCCATTTACAGATGATTTGAATGGTTTTCAGAAAGTGGAAGAATCAGAACCATTACAGAAAGCGGAAAAAACTCCTCCAAATTTTGCATTAAACATTAAGCTAAAGAGCCCATAGATCCAACGCCCATATCAGAATCAGAATTATTATGTTATTAAGTAACAGAAAGTCACAAACTTGGAATGTATTATTATTAGATATTTGGTGGACAATGCTATGTCCATGACGTGCTATGACGGCAAAAAGTATGAACAAATTTGAGACAAAAAACAAACACGCCAATATCACTTCACTGCCTGAAATGTCTTCATAACAAACGCATCAAAGCCCACTGCTGCGCCCCCCTGAGTTGCTCCAGACCACATTCTGAGCTCCAGTGGTCAGTTGACTTATGAGGTCACTTTATAAAAACCCAAATGGCACGCTTTCTCCCCCCAATAAAACCAGCGCGCTTTACTTTCAGGGGAGCCATCCAACACAACGCCAATCCTGTGCGTAAACACTCCCCCACGTGCGCGCGTCTATGAAGTGCAATGAGTGTTATTTGTTAATTTTTTTTTACCTGTGACGACTTGCTGCGCGCTGTCCAGTTTGGTAACTTTGAACCCCGGTGTCATAACCCAGACCCCAGCAGTGTCGGGCAAACGCCAGGGCCAGCAAGTAAAACAGCGTCTCCATCCTCACGTGGCCTCTCCAACTGTCCAACTATTCCAAAAATAAAAATAAAAATGAAAAAAATACAACTTCTCATTTATTCCAAAAGCACACGCATCCCACAAACAGGTTTTAAGTCCAGGAATCAGCAGAACGGCGAAGGTAAAGCCATCAGGGCTGATTCAAGTCAAGTGCATGTCGTGCGTAAAAGGGCTGTGGGAGAGTTGGGACGTGGTGCACGCACTTTGGAGGCTGCAGCGAGAGTGAGGCAAGAGAAGGAGCAGGAAAGTTTTCTGACAGAGTGTGAGAGGAGTCCGTGCCCAGCCAGGCCCCCGTGCGCCCCCTCCTCTGTGCGCGTCAGTGTGCAGTGTGTGGGCGGGTTTAGGTCACATTGTGGGGAATTGTAGGCTTCACATTAAATTCATACGGAGGGGCTTTTTATATGCTTGTGATGAAGACAAATGGGTTTCTCACTGTAAAAGTAAAAATAAGTTAAAAGGCTATAGCAAGTGGTTGCAATAAAGCTGGGGTCCCTAACTTTAAAGAGATATATACAAAAAATAAACCAAATGGGTTAGTCCATGGGTGAGCCTTGTAAAAGTAAAATTTGTGAAAAAATCTGAGCAGAAACATGCTGTCTTAATCATGCAAGAAAACGTTTTATCTTTTACATAGTGAGTGCTGATTGGCCGACTGAGGGCTGGTACTCTCCTTTTCACCTTAAAAATACTACTCCAGCTTTAAATTGTATTAAACTAGATATAAGAATAATTTTATCTGTGTAATACAACTTTGGTTTGTGTCATTCAAAAGAGATCAAAAGGCAAAAGAACTTGGTAATACGGTGGCTGAGTGGATGGCACTCTCGCCTCTCAGCAAAGAGGCCCGATAGGTTTGAATCCCGGTCGGAACAGGGCCTTTCTGAGTGGAGTTTGCATGTTCTCCCCGTGTCTGCGTAGGTTTTCTCCAGGTGCTCCGGTTTCCCCTACCACTAAAAACATGCACAATAGGTATGAATGTGAATGAGAGAGTGAATGGATGGTGTTGATTGGGGGCTGATGCACCAGTGTGTTCGGCGACTCTCTTCTGTCATCACTGTGTGGAATGATTGGAACAATATCTGAACTCTGAACATTGTAAAGCGCTTTGGGTGACCTTGGTCTGCAAAATGTGCTATATAAATAAACATTACATACTTACTTACTTACTAATATTATTCAATCATTTAGACGTGTTTATATGCAATTTAGTAAACATTGAAATTACATATTCATGGACAATAGGAATCAAGTTTGCAGACAATTAAGTAAGGGGAAAAGTGAAAAAAAAAAAAAACAACAACAATAATAATTATTTATTTTTTTACTTGAGGTGGTTTTGTACTAAGATTTTCTAATGGAAGACTTTACTTCAATAAAGAAACAGTGAAAACAATCTTTGCGTGAATGAATAGAAACACTGTGGGATATACTGAACTCCAAATACCATAAAATAAACATAAATACTTTCCAGTATGTCTTTCTGAATCGAGCCCTCCAGTTCAGCCCCATTGAAGAGAGAGCGGCTGGCACTGTACGCTTTTGTTGAACTGTCAGAGTGATTTCTGCAAAAACACAGTCCAAGGCGCGTAAAATGTAATTGGCATTAAAGGGGAGTTCCATGTAAAAAAAAAAAAAAAACAGAATGGAAAACAAGACATGCTGTTTAATGATGTGTTTTCATAATGATTCCGTTGACAAAAGGAATAAAATGTGATGGTGCCTGGATTTTGACATGTACAGGATGTTTTTTCAAAGTCATAACTAAATAATAGGTCTGCCAAAACTGTGGATGCTATTTAGAAGGAAAGATGATACAGGAAAATAAGCCACAAGAGACAGAGGGAAGGAAAACAAATGAATGCAGCAGTAGATTTGGTCTCCACATAGATTTCACAGCTGTATGGCCGTGGATCCTGAGCAAACTGGAAGAGCCAAAGGCCCATTGCCACTGGCTGCGATGGTTCGTCAGCAGTTTTAAAGCAGGGAAATAGCTCTCATTATACTTTGTTGTTTGCCTTCAAAGTTCCATTTCCAAACAGAACAAAGTTAAAATAAATCTTGGATACTGCAATATGTTTTAATTAACTCATGGTCTGCCATTGATGTATGTGATTTTGAGGCTGGTGATTTCTGTCAAACTTCCCTGATACTTTGCTGATGAAAGTAGACGGTCCAATCTTTCAGAATCTGGTTTCATATTGTACATAGTCACAGCACACAGTATTCTGTGGGTCTTGAAAGTCAGTGAAATCATCAAAAATGGCTGGCAGTCAGTGAGATAATAAATAATACATCTATACAGCCAGTCTTAAAGGTATATTTTAGGAAAGAACTGCCCTCTCCACTTTTTGAACAAAACTCTTTGGTCTTATCACCAGAATGATTGACAATTGGGAGAACCAATAGTCTTGATTATCCACCCAGGTGTAGAAAATCCTCCTATGTACCTTTAAGTAACAATTTGTGAGTCAACGACAACACATGCTGTCTTCATCTTGTCCTTTGCAATGCCCTTTTTGACACTTTGAGTTGAGAGCTGATTGGTTGAGTGAGGGTGGTCCACTCTTTTTCTCTTTTCAGACTGAAAAAGCAGATCTAAACCCTAACCCTAACCAAAAAATGCATGTGAAAACCAGTGATGGATCCAAATTGTTTGGATTGAGTTAGATGGAATTCTTCATAACATATTTGATGATAACATATTTTTATCATCAAACTGCATCACAGCCATTTAGTAGGCCTATAAATAAATACATACAAAAGTAAAAACTAATTATTTGTGTTATTAGTGCTCCCACATGTTAGAAAATCCCACAAAGAATAAATTACATTGCTTTCTTCAAGAAGTGAATGTAAAAGAGTTAATGTTCCAGTCAAGATATAGTCCACTATTGATCTGCATTTGAGCGATCCAATCCACGTCCTCCGATCACCTGAGTGAATTGATGATGACTTTGGCAGAACTACCAGAGCTGGAGGATTCTTCCCTTGGTGCAATGAGTTTTGAGTGATGGGGAGAACCTGGGCACCCGGAAAAAACTCAAACAAAAACCACACAGAAAGATCTGGTGCTGCATGAGAATCAAACCTGCAACCCACTCGCTGTGAGGCACTAAGCACTACACACTGTGCTGCTTCACTTACAGCAATAAAAATCTTGAAGTAGCAACTGGTTTCTTTGGCAGCAGAGTTAGCAGTAAACATTTGCAGGTTTGTTATTGTGGAGACAATATGTACAACAGAGAATTCACTTTAAAATCTGCTATAACTAGAGGTGGTTGGGTAAAGAACAGGTTAAAAGTTGGACACATGCAGCTGAGAACAAGAGAAGAGTTTTTGTCAAATATGCACTCTTTGTTTTACAAGTATTTTTCTCCCACGTGTAACTTTCACTGCTTTTTTCCCAGTGTGCTTTCTCATATAATGTCCCGGTCTCTCTTATGTGGCCACATCACAGCTCAGCATCTACGACTCCATCAAGGCGTTTTGGTTCTAAATGCTCCCACCTGCTCGCCTCTAATCCTAATGCAAAAGATTGTTGGTTTTTTCTTTTTTTCCAGAATTGCCAAATTATGCAGTTTAAGATTGTAGGATCTAAATACATTTCACAGGACAGTAATGACATCCAGAGGCATGAGAAAATGTTTACAGTTGAATATATCTGAAATCCATGACTTCTTCTCTTAAAGCATCCCAAATACACAACATTACATAACATATTTTTGATGTCAACAGGCAGTTCTGACAGATACCTAATTTCATAGATTCCTAAATATACACACCTTAAATTTCAATCAATTCAGTCCCCAAGTTATCATGAAGTAAAGAATAAAAACATATTTTCATGTTGGCATATGCAGATCAGTGTATTCCCAATAATCCAAGTTTCCAGCCGAGCAAATCAGTTGACAGCAAATCCATGTAAAATGCACCCACAATGTTCCCTCCACGTATTTGAAAAGCAATATTTTTAATTCTTACACCACCTGCATGTGAAATCCCAGTCCTGACAGACCTCTAGAAACACCAGGTGCCACAATGGGGCGGCTGTGAAGTGCCAAAACTGATGTTGTGTTTTTAGGCAAGACACTTCACCCACATTGTCTAATAATAAGTCTGGATAATGATTGGTGGTGGGATATTGTCAAACTTTGTTACAGACTTGTGGTCCAGGATCGTATGGAGTGGCCAAACTTGCATGTGAAAGCCAGATCCTGCCAGATTTCTGAAGCTGTGCAGGGCAGGGCTTGGTTAGTACTATGATGGGAGACCTCTGAGATCACCATGCAGCCACTGTGGGGCAGCTGTGGCTGTAAAGTGCCAAACTGTTGTTGTGTCCTTTGGAAAGACACTTCACCCATATTGCCTAGAATGAGTCTGGTGTGTGTGCGTGAATGGTTGGTGGTGGTCGGAGGGGCCAATGGCACATACTGGTTGCCTCACTTCTGTTAGTGTGCCCCAGGGCAGCTGTGGCGACAGTATATAGTTTATTGGCACCGTGTATGGAGTGAAAGAAAAATATGAAGAGTGTCCTGAAAAGCGCAATATTTTTGTGATTTTATTCAAGAATTATTCACGTGATGCATCTTTGAGTGTACAAAATGTGTGAAAGCACGTGAAACCGATTAATTTATTTATAATATAGTGTGATTATTTAAGATTTGAAAACCTTGTGTGACTGCTCTAGCTTGTTTTTTCAGCATTTTGAGTTACCTTGCGTATGAATTGTACGATTCTAATGAACTTGCCTTGCCTTATTAACACCATCCGAAAATATTTGCAGGTCACGTTTCTCTCCCATAACTTTTCCAAGAACATCCACGACTGAATGAACTATGTTAAATATCGCGATTCCCTTCCAATCCATCACTATTTTGAAGCCAGACCAGAGCCGTCGCCGTCCTCGCCGCTGCGTCCTCCACAAACATCCGCACGATAAGAACCCGGTGTAATGAGTATAATGGTTTGGAAATGAAGCCCCTG